AGGCCTTCGTGCCCTTTGAACCAGATCTAGTGGCACATAAACTTACTGCATCAGAAATAAATAGCCATTGCTGCCCATGATCCTTCAAACTCCAAAATGATTCAGATATTTGGTCTCTCTCATTCTCATTAAGTTTCGGTTTTTCACAACGAATACAATTAGCTTTACAAGGAGCGAGGGGTTTGCGAGCCTTTCTTACTTTTCCCACGGTGTTCACATGTTCAATTCCTGAGTTCAGAGCAAATTTCATTTGAAGAGTTTTGACCTGGGATGGAAACAAATTTTCATACGGCTGATGCAAGATATTTTGATCTTGAAAATTAACATTCTTGTCCATAAGCTTGTCTTCCAAAAATTTTCTTTTCACCTTGGATTCTGAACCTGTAAAAATGAAGCAGAAATTGAAAACTGATGACAGAAGATTAGATCAAACGATAAATCTTAAATATTTTACATATACCAGAACAAATTTCCAGAACAGCGTTATTGCTCTCAGGTTCTTCTCCACCAGAAAAAACACGGACCAAAGAAACTATAAACAGAAAACAATGTTGTTGCGCTGCTAGCACAGAGGCTAAATAAATGAATGAATCCATACAAAAGAATTAAATCCACACCTACTTACCATGTGAAGAAGATGAGATATTACTAACTTGCTGCAGAGCAGTGTTTGGCCCAGAAATAGCAGCACCTTTAAAGAATGAGATGAGAGAGTTCATCATAAAGGTGCCCCCGCAACTTCTTGTTCTTAGTTGGCATTCTAGACAGAAATCTCGGAGACAAGCTCGAATTATTGTTGGGGTTCAAGTTACTCAGAACGGGGAAGTGTAACATTATTTAATAGAAGCCAACTGACAACCAATAATATATTTTTCTTGAAGTAATAATAATGTTTTACTTAGTTATGAAGCTAAAACCATAAATTGGCAACCACAGCCAATCAAATTTGTATTATTGGTTGTCAGTTGGGCTCTTATTAAATAGCATAACACTTACCCTTTCTTAATAACTTGAACCGCAACAAAAATTCCCCTTTGTCTCTGAGATTTCTGTCTAGAAAGACAGCTAAGTAGACATTGGGAGCACCCTAAGTGTTATGTGCAGCTTGGTAGTTTTAATGAGCTGCCCCTTTTACTTAAATTGATTATACTTAATTGACGACATTTTACTGATTCACTGACAATTCTAAATAGAGTACCTTTTCCATCACTCTCTCTAGAGAGTCTCTCCAACTTCTCTTGATTGCCGCTTTCAATAAGTGTCGAAGTCTCCTGAGAAATGGAGTAAGGAACAGCCAGCCGAGTAGCGTTGGTGATAAAATCTGAAATAAATGTGGAAGCAGGTTTATATTACTGTTGTAATATATCAAAGAAGCATATATTAAAGATATTAAGACAAAAATGCTATGAAAGTAACTCGTACTGTTAGCAGTAGCAGCTGAATGGAAATCCAGTCGTCGCCTGACACGGTTTCTTCTTATAGAAATGGGTAATGGTGACTTCACGATTATATCAGCTGCCTCAAAAACTCCATCCCAAGAAGGAGACATAGGAGCTGAAACACAAATACATCCCAATTTGGTTATAATAACATTAACAAAAACTGAGGTTATCTAGATTTTAAAGTTTATTTTTTTCTTCTTTGTGAGAAACTTACAGTATGTTGAACAGCGAGACGGTGACTGGTCTTGAAAGACATGATGGGCCTCCCATCCAGCAATATCATAATTGTTGTTATTCAATTGACACAAAGATACCAAACATTGAGCTCTTTTGGATGAGGTGACAGCAGCACACATTTCTAATCTACAGACCAAAGAAATCACTTTGAATTAACAAAAAAATATTTCTGGTATTTTACATTTCAATAGCAGTAGGTATGACAGTTTCAAATTACAAAAACAAATCAAAAAACAACCTTTCGTCGTGCAATTTCTTGTGAAACACTCAGATGGTCTTGTTCTTCAAAGCACACACA